TACAGTGGGTTTTCCTTTTTGAAATGTAATTTCCTAGATAATGGTCTGGAGGGCACCATTTCAAAATTTCTGGATGAGTCAAACATTGGAAATATCGTGAACCATGAAGAGGATATGTACATTAAAAGAACGTAGATGAAATACTAGGATGAACTTTATTGCAGAAAAGTGTGAAGTCATTCATTTTGGCCCTCTTTAAGAATAGATGTGAAACCATTAGAGAGGTGCAGAAAAGATTCGAAGAATTATGACATAGATTTGAAGGACTTCACATACAAGGATAGTTGGAGAAGCTAGGATCATTCTCCAAAGTGAAGATTGTGGTGGGGTTTGATAGTGGTGTTTGAAATGATGAGGGTTCTAGACAGAGTCGACAGAGGGAAACTATATTAGTTGGTGAAAGTTTCAAGAACCAGGGAACATCTCATTTCCGGGCTAAAAGGCCTAAATTTCTCCAATCATCTTTCATTGCTCAGATTGTTGACACAAGGAATCAGCTTCTCATTCTTTGTATCTTTAGCATTGTCAGTATACCAACACTAAGTGAACTGCAGAGGTTCAAGGCAGCTCACTACCACATTTTCAAGGTCAACTAGGGGTGGGCAATAAATGTTGGCACAGCTAGTGTTGCTGACATCGATGAATGAATAAAAACACAGAATTAATTGTAATACTGAAGTTGTCGTCAGACCAGAGCATTTATAATTCAGTCATAACATAATCTGATATCATGCATTGGTTTAGCCACACAATTCAACACTTCATTAACTTTTTTTATTGACGTTTTGAGATAGTGGGGTGCTTTGAGGTTATAAAGGCTCCGGGAGTCTTGCGTCATCGTTGTGACTTCACTATAATTTGTGCAATTTAACTTGTGCGTTATTTTCCTACCGAGGTTCAATTGTTTTCACTAGTCTCTATTAAAGTTTATTTAGGAACATAGGAATGGGTTGTGTCACTCAGTAAGATAATGGCTGATCTGTGGCCTAACTCTGTATGCCTGCTTTGGGCCCATATCCCTTGATACCTTTGCTTAATAAAAAAAATCGTTTATCTCAGATTTAAGTTTAACAATTAAATTAGTATCGACTGCAGCTTAAGGGAGAGAGCTCCAAAAATCCACTACTGTTCGCATGTGGAAGTGCTTTCTAATATCTTTCCTGAATGGCCTGGCCCTAATTCTCGGACAATGTCCCCTGGTTTTAGAATCTTCAGCCAGTAGGAATAATTTATCTAGCCTCACCTTCCCTGTTAATATCCTGAAGACCTTGATTAGATCACCCCTTAACCTGTGAAATTCTGGAGAATAAAGACCTAATTTGTCTAATCTCTATTCATAGCTTAACGTTTGGATCCACATAATATCATTCTTGTAAACATGCACTGAACTCCCTTCAAGGCTAAGACATCCTTCCTAAGGTGTGGTGCCCAGATCTGCTGACAGTATTCCAAGCAGGGTCTAACTAGGGTTTTGTATAACTGGCAGCATAACATCTGCATCCCTATATGCAAGCCCTTTAGATATGAAGACAAGCATTCCATTAGCTTGACTATTTTTCTGTTCTGAAGGGTCACTGGACCTAAAATGTTAACTCTGATTTCCAGCATCTGCAGTTCTTTCAGTTTTTATTGATTATTTTTTGCACTTCTTTGTGGTAATTTAAAGAGCTACGAACCTGAACCTCCAAATCTCGTTGGTCATTGACTGTATTTAACTTTGTGCCTTCTGAAAAAGATACTCTGATCTATCCTTTCTTGGTCTGAAATAGTTAACCTTACACTTATCTTAAAATCCATTTGCCACAGCTTTGTCAGTTCACCTAACCTATCAATATGCTGTCATCAACACTGTCTACAATGCTCCCCAAATTTGTGTCATCAGCAAATTTGGATATTTAACTTTTTTATGCCATTATCCAAATCATTAATGAATATTGTGAATAATTGAGGCCCCAACACTGATCCCTGCTGGACACCACTCATATACCCTGCCAATGAGTACTTAACATTATTCCAACTCTGTTTCTAGCCACTCAACCAGTTCCCTAAACATGTCAATACAGTGTGGAGCTGGAGGAACACAGCAGGTCAGGGAGCAGGAGAGTCGACATTTCGGGTCGGGACTCTTCATCAGCCGAAACATCGACTCTCCTGCTCCTCTGCTGCTGCCTAACCTGCTGTGTTCCTCCAGCTCCACAGTGTATTGACTGTAACTCCAGCATTTGCAGTTCTTGCTATCTCCGAGCTACTTCCTAAACATGTCAGTAATTTGCCCTCAATTCCATGGGCTTCCACCTTAGCTTACAGTCTTTTGTGACGGGCCTTATCAAAGGCCTTTTGAAAGTCCACATAAACAACATCCATTAACTTAACTTCTGTCTGCCACCTTGTCACCGCTTCAAAAAATTCTACTTGCTATTGTTTTGCCTGTTTACCTGGTATGTCTAGCTTGTGTGGGTTTCACAGTTACACCTTTTCACTGTACATACACTGTAAATACTTAAAGGAGGTAATCATTCAACACATTTACTCAATGGCCCTTTTGATGTTTTTGGATTTTTATCCCTTTAACTGAACCTTTGTTTTGTCAAATGGAAAGGGTTTCTTTTTAACTGTTTGGCCTCTGTGAAATTACTTTAATATAATTATTGTAGTAATGATTTTAATATAATTTAACTTTGCCCATATCTATGTGTATCTTCCATTAATCCTGAAATTGAAATTGCAAATAACATTTCAGAACATCGCTTTAAATTACTAGTTTTTAGTGAAGGAATAATTATCTGTGAAAATGAGAATTTAATCTCCCTGTGGATTTGCTTTGCAGTATTTAAGATATTGGCCTAAAAAGAAAACATTATTCAACATGCGCCTTAGTAAACGCTTCCATAATCTTAGGTCACTCCTCAGCTTTCTTTTTTGTCAAAGATAGATTTCTGATAGGTATAAACTTTGTTCTGGTATTCTTCCTATAATTATTTTTTCAGCTTCTTTATGCCTGCATGACCTTTTTATATTATGCTGACCAGAACAGTCTTTAGCTAAGTGTGATCCAACTAAGGTTCTGGACAAGTTTTGCATTAGCTCCCTGCCTTTACTTCTGTTCATTTAGAACTGGACCACAGGGCGTATTTGTATTTTTATGATATTATTAACATGTATGCTACTTTCAGTGATTTGTATATTTGTGCCACCAGATCTTCTTGCTCATTTACCATTTTTAAACTCTTACTTTCCAAGTTTCTCTTCCTCACAATTGCAGCACCTCATAGTTGCTTAACCACAGTAACAAAAGATGTTTACGGTATCTAAATTTGCTGACTTAAAAACCAGAATACACATTCTGTGCAGTTTCTGAGCAGATTGGGGTGATCTAATCAAGGTCTTCAGGAGTATTCAGTCTGTCAGTCTTGCTGCACCACTCAATTAGATCATGGCTGATCATCTACCTCAATGCCATTTTCCTGCACTATCTCTATATTGCTTGGTTTCCTTAGTCTCAAGGAATCTATCAGCTTCCACAGCTCTCTGATTTGAAAGTTCAAAAGATTAACCACCCCTGAGTGAAAACATTCCTCCTCATCTCACTTTTGAATAGCTCAACCCTTGTTCTGAGATTCGTTCCCTGGTTCTAGATACACCAATCAAGGAAAACATCCTGCTCACATTCATACTGTCATCCCTGTAAAAATCTTGTAAGTTTCAGTGAAATCACCTCGTTTTTCAAACACAGAAAATGGCAGGAGTGGGCCATTTGGCCCTTCGAACCTGCACCACCATTCATGGCTGATCATGCAATTTCAGTATCCCATTCCCGCTTCCTCTCTACACCCCTTGATCCCTTTAGCTGCAAGCGCCACATCGTGCTCCCTCTTGAATATATCTAATGAACTGTTCCCAACAGTTTCCTTTGGAAGCGAATTCCACAGGTTTACAACTCTCTTAGTAAGAAGAAATTCTTCCTCATCTCAGTCCTTCATGGCTTATCCCTTATTCTTAGACTGTGATCCATGGTCCTGGACTTTCCCAACATCAGGAACATGCTTCCCACATCTAGCCTGTCCAGCCCCATCAGGATTTTATCTGTTTCTATGAGATCCCCCACCTCCCCATTCTTGTAAATTCCAGTGAGCACAAGCTGAGTTGATCCAGTCTTTCCCTATGTGTCAGTCCTGTCATCCCGGGAATCAGTCTGGTGAACCTTCGCTGCACTCTCTCAATAGAAAGAATGTCTTTCCTCAGACTAGGAGACCAAAACTGCACACAATACTAGGTGTGGGCTCACCAAGGCCCTGTATAACTGCAGCAAGCCATCCCTACTCCTACCCTCAAGTCCTCTCGCTATGAAGGCAACATGCCATTAGCTTCCCTCACTGCCTGCTGCACTTGCATGCCAACCTTTAGCAACTGTTCCACCATGACACCAGGTCTCATAACTCTAGAGAATCAGCACGATTGCCTTACTCTCCTTGTGAGACAGTCCTGCCATCCCAGAGAATAGCCAGGTAACCTCAATTGTGCTCCCTCCTTTGAAACTCTATAGCTCAATGCCTCAATCATACTGATGTGAGAAAGCATTGAGAAAGAAAACCAGGAGAAAATTTTTCCCAGAACATTGCTTCATGTGCAAACTACTATGTTTCTGACATTACAACAGTGATTGTTATTATTGGCTCTGAAGTGCTGTCGAAAGGTCATGACAAACACTAAATCAGTGCAAGTTCTTCTTGGTCTTTTCCTGGCATTGCATCAGAAGTGAATACAGTGGATATACGAACTTGAAATGTGTAATTAGGATAAATGGATACAGAGAGGGATTTTAAGCCCTTCTAGAACAAGTGCAATTTCTTTCTTCTCTCACCCACCAAACGTTTATCTGCTCTCAATAGTAAAGTAGATTAAACATTTGTTTTGCATTTCAGTAGTGTATTAGAGAGCTATGATTAATTAAAATGTGTATGTTATGTTTGTTAGAATTAATTTTTTCCTTTTATTTACAGACGTGGTAAACCACTGTACTTGTGCAGTGAACGCTATAAAGTTTTGGAGCAACAGTGGGTGACACATACCTTTGATCACATCAATAAGAGATGGGGGCCACATTACAATGGATTATAACTGACTTACAGATCTTTCCTGAAACATGGTCATCAAGAAGCTTTAGTTCATACAAATGTTGTGAAATTTATTTTTAAAAATAGCCATTTTGTTACAAAACAAACCACAAGATCATTATTCTGCAAAGGTGCTATTAATATCCGTTTTATGGCACTCTGTGAAAAATCCCAGCAAAGCTAAAAGCCTGTCTCTAGAAATGGGCTAAACTATCTTCTATAGACTAAAGGATGTTTTATTTATTAGTCATAATGAAGAAATTGTAGCAAAGTATGTGTACAAAAAGCACAATTTGAATTTGTGTGCTCCTCACTAAAATAGATGTAATGTTTATAGAATATGGCCAAGATTGATATAATGTGTTATTTTTGAAGGGTTGGTTGCTAATTTTGTTTCCTTGGAAAAAGTGCACATTTATAGGAGGGTGAAATCTGGTCCTATACACTTGATGGCAGTACACTATTTAGAAATTAATTATTTGAAGCCTGCTTCATTTGTTGTGACATTTTTTCTGATTAGTCTGTGCTGAGTTTTTTTCTTTGCTTTAAGAGGTTTTGATTTATATCTGGCCATAATAATTTTCATTAAGTTTACTGTAACGTGCCCAGTTTATTTAAAAGGATTTTACAAAAAGAGGCTTCAATCTGTAGAAACTTCCTAATTAAAACAAAAATAGGCTGTAAAACATTCAGTCTCAGGAAATTTTGTTTCTTATTTTGTTAAAGGTAACTGAGCAACAGAAATATTCGGACTGACTGCTGCTAGTAACAGAACAAATATCTTTTTAATAAATTGCTTATTTGGGAGCCTAGCTTTATGCTTTGCAATTTATAAGCACCTTATGGAGATAGTGTGTTTACCAAGTTTGGTCACCATATAAAAAGAAGAATTTTCTCATTACAAATGTGCAACCTTGACCAACTTTAATCCAATCAGCATTCAAATTGGATACTGTGGTATGTTATGCAATGATTAGAATGAAAATACACAGGCCCTCCCTATGGCAAATTTCTGTTTCAGACAACCACTGTCAGCACTAGGTTTATTTGTATTACAATTATGCAGTGTAATTACCACCTTTTTTTATCTGATTTACTAAACAGCAGACATTCAGATGATGTGGGAAATGAACAGTCCTAATGTATTCTCGTAACCAAAGTGCAAATGGGATTCAAAATTTAACTGCAAGAATTTGTGGGCACTTCTCATATTTTCTTTTCATTATAGAAATATCTTCAATTTTGAAGATGTGCAATTTTGTTTCTTGTCTATTTTTCCCTTTTTTAATTCAGCAATCTTTAGCAAATAATATACAGCTTCTGATTAAAATATAGCAAGACTGGACAAATCCAAATTCCAGTAGACAAACTGCATAAAATGAGTTTGATTTTGGTTTTGGTGTTCTGAGGGAAAAAGCATTTCAGTCATATTTATACCGAATGTAAAAGTACACATACCTATCAACAAACATTTCTGTATACTAAATCACAAAAAGGTGAAAATTCTGAATACAAATCATGAAAACTTAAAGAATTTTATAAAATCACATCTTAAAGGGAGTAATTAATTATATGCTGCAATTCAAAAGTACAGAAAAGCGACCCGTTAATAGATAGGTCCTGTCAGAGTTATCATGGACTAGATTGTGAGATTGTTTGGAATGATTCGTATTTGTAAACATTGGGAGCTATTGAAATTTGATGTATAATGGGTAATCAGGTATTTTGTTTATTTAGATACAATTTCTCTTTAATTAGTATTTAAAAATTCTACAAAAATTGTGATTTAGTGATTATACCGATATCTGACGTGCAAAAATAACTGACAGACTTAATAATATCTAATGACAAATACGTCAAGGATTCTTTTAAGAATTTGAAAGGCCCTGAGTGCAGAGCAGAATGGTAGTTAAACTTTTATATCTAATTGCCAGCATTAAATAATTCAACAATTTAGCCAACAGTATATGTTTAAAAACCAGACAGCAATGAGTACAGTAATTGTACCTACTATGCTGTCAGTATGGTATTTAATTATGAATCATCTTCCAATAAGTATACATGGAGTATTCTTTATTGCTCTAACTCTGAAGGATGGTCATTGGCTTTCATTCACTTTTTGTTCCCATACTAGTGCAGTTTGATTGCTAGATATGCAGATGATTTAAAAGTGTACTTGAATTCATATATGCTGCTGGATTTTTATTTTAGTTTTCCTATGTTTTCCAAGACCCACTAACCAAATTAATATCATCAAATAAGTGGTGTGTAATTTGAGATAAAAATTGAGTGTTCACCAGTGTGTTACCCTGTATGAATGAATGTTAAATACAGTACATTACTGTAAAAGCTGAACATTTTCTGGCATATTGAAAACTTGGGATTAATCAAAATATGACTGTAAAATATGTTAATAAAGTATGTAAATCATGCGTGTCTTTTTTAAAGTAAGATTTTCAGTAACTAACAACTCACATGTCCTATATGATAAAAATAGAAAGTTCACTTTTACAAATGGATTTTTATGGAATGAATGTACCAACTAAAAAATTAACAAATGGACACCTTCTGCATATTTGCTTCTGACATTGTAGCAGGAGGTTGATTTCAACCAGGAATGCCATCTTCCATAACATACCTTTTGGGCAACTGTTCTCAAGCTGCTACAATGTTGAATTGCTGTAACGAAGATTTCATCAAGTATTTATTTTTGTCCGTTAGTTCAGATTGAGAAATCTCTCTACTTTAGTGGCATCTGGAAACATTCAAATGCTTATATATAACAATTTAAAAGTCTTCATAAACATCAATTCTTAAGTGTATACATTTCAATTTTTTACTTACAGTTTTTAGAAAAAAGTCACCAAAATTTTCTGCGGAGTATGCCAAAGCTCACTGTTTAGGGTACAAGAAATATGCACTGTTTTAACAAATAATGGAGTACCACTGTATTTACAAAAGGAAGTATACTGTTAATTTAGTTCGTGAATAGAAGACATTGCCATTCTGAACTTCAAAGTGGTCCAGTGTTATTTGGCTACCAGCATCCAAGCTTGAAACACTAGCCACTGGAAAAGTAAGAAGTCTTTTGTTTTGTGTCATTTTATTATGTTGTCACAAAGATTACAGCATCTAGATAACTTATTAAGTTATCTCTGCAGAAACTTGAACACTGACATGAGATATTTAATCGCTTTATTACAGCTATTGGAGTTTTTGCTTCCACTAGAATTCTAGGTATCAGTTATCTTTTGGGCACTCCAGAATTTGTCTTTTATCTTGCCTGGTGTGATGTTGATCAGAACATAATGCAAAGACTTTATGGAGTACTTAAAGGTAGAAAAAATCCCAAAATGCTTCACAGAAACATAATCAGACAAAAATGAGCGGTGGGAAAGAAGAAAATAACAGCGGGGACCAGATCCTAATTAAAGGTGTTTGAGGTGGCAAGCAAGTGGGAGCTTGGAACAAAAACTGTGAACTGGAGAAACATAGCAGGTCTGACAGCATCTGTAAAGATAAAACAGTGTTATCGTTCTGAGTCTAGTGACCCTGCATCAATGTTAACACTGTTTTCTCTACAGATTCTGCCAGACCTGATGTGTTTCTCCAGCACACACATTTCTGTTTCGGATTTCCAGCATCAACAATTCTTTATGTTTATTTAAATGGGAGCTTGGTGCTGGCTTACTCATTCAGCCATTAGAGAGCCAGCGATGGACACTGGGTTAGCTGTACTACAGCAGGAGGGATTAAAATGGTACCAGTGACATTGGGGCAGCAGCACTTAATCCCAAGGAATGAGTTCAGGAAAGACAGGGGTATCTGAATGAAAGGTCTTGGACTAAAAGACAGACCACCTGCCAAAGGCCTCATTCAACCAGGTATTAGGGTGCCCTTGAAAAGGCGCAACAGCTGAGAGGAAGGAAGGACGAAGCACTGGCAATGGGACTTCAGCAACCTCAGAATCAGCAAAAGAGGCTTACTGGTGAGGAGCACGTCAGCAGCCTCGTTAGAAGAGGTTACCACCCAGGCAGTACGCTCTCCCGATGTCCAACAGCAAAAATTGAGACTTTCCAGTGAGGCAGTTGCAAATATCAGAGAGATTCGCTTATTTCAGGGCTATCACCGTATTCCCCTAGCTATAGGTTGTCATTCGTGTTGCCATGGTTCCCACTGATCAGCCAGCAATCTTCATCGATGAAAATGGTTTTCATTTGCTGTGTTCAGCTGATCTGTGACCATTAAAAGCAGATCTGATAAGTGTGTGCATGGTTCCTAGAAAGTAACTGTGATGCAGGTATACTTCAGCAGTTCCAGTGCTGAAGCATTTCCAACCTATATGTAGCTTCATGGATGGATACTGGGAGACAAAGGCTATCTACTCAGGACATGAAGCTCAACTGTGAGGAACTTGTGCATGGTTGAGGATGAGAAGTGCTACATCTGACACAGATCAACCCGTGCAACCATTGTGCAGGCCACTGGGCTTCTGAAGATACAAGATTGGCCCAATGGGGCTCTTCATTATGCTCCAGCAAGGACCTTAATGGTCAACTATGTTTTTTAGTAATCTGGTGGTGCAGAGACAGGAAGCATTGAATGGTGATAATCTTGTGGACTGTGGTACATCCTCCAATGAGGAGGATGAGGAGAAGGCTGCTAATGAGATGACACAAGATCAGGGACCACAGGCAAGACATAATGAGATACAAGGTAAGGAGAAACATATGCAGATGTTTGTGACTCCTAATACTCTTCAGAAGCATTCCAATAAAACCTTATTATTAGGGACTAGTTGGAAAGGTGGATTGATTCCTTATCCAACTCTACACTGGCCACAACAAAGTTTGACTTTAAATTGCAAAGTGATATTGTTAATTTTATATTGGACTGTAAGAAGTGGCTTAGTATCGGAAATAGTTCAGCTGGGTCCCTTAGGTTCAATAAAGAATAGATTTCTTGCAAATATATTACTCAAGCAAAGATGCACATTATTAACGAAAGGTAATGTGCAAATATATCCTGCAATCCTCCTTGAAAAATAACGTGCGCACACACAACATCTCTAAGTTTCAAGACACAAATTTCTGCAATGTTATTCTGTTCTGTCGCTGAAATCACTTTCTACGTGAGCTAATGGTACTGAGATCTCTTTCTGGATCAGTTATGAACAGTTGAATTCTCTTTATAGATGGTGTAGATTCAGTTTTCTCTTAAGAACTTTCCACTTATAGCAATGAGGTGTTCTTCAAGGTTTTTAACCTGAGAGGGGTTTCGGAGAGGCGGTGAAGGCTGTTAGCCTGTGGCAGATTCTTTCTGATTATGTTCAAGTGTGATCTCCGTCTGAAAATGTTGCAGAATTGGTGTCTCCTTTCAAGCAGTTTGTTCTTTGTAAATGTGACATTGTTGCTATTATAGCCATTGGCCTTTGCTTTGAGAATTGTTCTAGTTCCCAGAAAGTTCAAGATGTATATGTGTTCAGTTGATGATATTCTAAGTTATTATTTTATATAACACATCATCCTAATACTTCTACCCTTGGAAGAAGTGCAATGTAGCTTGCAAAAGTGTTTCATTTCAAAATGTCAAAAAAGTCATAAAAAGATTACAAAATATGTACATACCTATTATTTCATTTTTTTTAAGTCGAACCAATACAATTATGCACCTTTCAAGATTAGTACCCATGTAATTCAGGCTGGAGTTAAATTCTGGACAAATGATCAGCTTTCATATTATTTCTCCTTGTGATTTGGATGATCTTTAAATGATTGGGTTGAAAAAAAAACTCCACTGAAAGAGCCTGGCATTCTAGGTTTTGAACTTTGCCACAAAATTTAAGTTATTCTGATCAGTATGCAGTAGGATTCCTTGTATCCATGGTAAACATATACTTCTGAGTTTTATGAGCTAACAATGGTCCTATTGTTTCCTTTTCCATAGTGTAAGCCTACCTTGCAGTTGATTTAACCTTTTTTGAGAGGTATTCCACTGATTGCTTTACTGTTTGTCAGTTAAATCTGTCACTGGAGCAGCACTAGTGCTGATCATGCTGACTTGTTTTTAGTCCAGTGTGATTTCTCCTCCTCATGTTAATTCTGTCAAGCTGATGATAGCTTTTTGTGTTTTGTCCCAGATTATATATACATTTGTTCTTGGCTTTCCTGACATTCCACAATAATCTCTTATGAAACTAAATTATCATTTTTATTCATCTTTTTGTATTGGTAGTGCAGTCAGGGTAAGGAGAAGAAATAGCTGTTTAACCGCTTTGGGTGTGCTCCGCCAAATAGCAAGACTATGGATGACATAATCTTGACCTCAAATTTGCTTTCCTACCTGCCTTCCACAACTATTGATCGAAAATCTCCCTAGCTCAGTCTTGAATGTATTAAGCAACCCAGTCTCCACTGCAATCGAGTAGAAAATTCCAAAGATTAACAACCCTCTAGGAGAGAAAAGTCTTGTTCATCCCTCTCAAGTAGAAGACCCCTGTATCTGAAGCTGTGCTCCGTGGTTGTGGATTTCCCCCACAAAGGGGAACATTATCTCAACATCTACACGGTTAAGCCCATACAATTATCATCTATATACAGTATCAAAAATACCACACAATTATACAGTGTTGGCACTAGGGAATGCATCCATGACAATGAAAAAAGAAATTAATTTTACACCCACATACTCATTGCAAGAACAATGCAAGTTGTGGTTTCGCCGATGCCGAAGAGAATTTTCCGATTACAAATCAGACACCGCATTGCCACCGTAGAACATTTAATTCTTACACTAAAGAAAGGCAAATTGCCCATTTTTACAAAGAAAAACACAATTACTCTAAGCTTATATGAAATAAAGACAACTCTGTTTGTTTGTTTCATTCGGCTCCATTTGCCTACCTGAATATGTACCAGTGACTGGTATTGATAACTTAGCAATGTCATTTTAGTGCGGTGTTTATTATCATTTGCTTTTTCAGAAAAGTGTCCCTACCCCTAGACAGGCGGGTCTGGTTCAAGTCCCACCTGCTCCAGAGGTGTGTAATTACATCTCCGAACAGGTTCATTAGAAAAAAATAGGTCAAATAAAAAAAGCAGAAGTTTTTGAGAAGGTTTGTAGCTCAGGTTGTGGATGAGATTGTAGACTGGCTCGCCGAGCTGGTGTATTCGATTACAGAGATTTCGTCACCCTGCAAGGTAATATTGTCAGTGCGCCTGCGGTGAAACATTGGTGTTCTGTCCCACATGTTATTTATATACCTCAGTTTGCTGGGGTGGTTGGTATCACTTCCGGTTCTGTTTTTCAGTGGTTTGTATATTGGGTCCAGTTCAATGTGTTTGTTGACAGAGTTCTGGTTGGAATGTCAGGCCTCCAGGAATTCCCTGGCATGTCTCTGTTTGGCTTATGCTATTATGGATGTGTTGTCC